GCGTAGCCCCGGCTTCTGCCCTAGCCTTGTCCCCTAACCCCTGTCAGAGAGGTGGCCCCGAGTCTGGGTCTCCAGCCTCTTTGGAATTGTTTCATTCAACTGACAAGGCCTTGTTCCTCTGTCACCTGCCTGCTGCTCCTGGGCTACAGCCGAGAGCCTGGCCACCCCTCCCTAGCTCTCCTGTGCTGGAAGTCACTGAATGCCTGATGCTGCTGTCCCCTTAAGAAAGAAAAATGCGGGAGTCCTGAGCAGCATGTGCCTACAACAGGACCCTCCTCTTGCCACTCACCCTCCCCTCACCGTCCCATTGTTTCTCCTAAAACCAGATGGGTGAGAAACTGCAGAGAAACCACATCCACAATTAAGTACGAGGTCACGTTTAGTTCAGCACCATCGGCTGCTTAATTGGCTGCTTCTATTGCTGCTCTCCTCATCTGCCAACACAGCCTCTAACAAGCTGCTGGCCGGGCAATTAGTCCCTGAGACCTGGCTGGTGTAGGATTTGGGCCCTCCCTGGGCATCTGCTTATCCGTGAACCCGCTGCGTGGGGCAGGGGAGTGGGTTCTCATCCAGAGGTCCTGCACGAAACATAGTGGGGCCCAGAGGACCAGCCCCCTAAGGAGGAGGCGCCAGGATCCAGGAGGGAAGCTCCAGCCTTCCTTCAAGGCCCATAGAAGGCAGGCCTGACTGTCACTCTTGGGCCTTCTGGGGCCCCTCCCTGCAGCCTGGGCAAAGGGCATGGAGAGCAGTACAGCCCATTGGTTAGAGGATGCACAGAGTCAGGCAGGCCCTGGTAGTTTTGAAACCTGGCTCTGTCTCTTATTAGCCATGTGACCTTGGGAAAATTACAGCTGCTACTCTTGTCTAGGCTGCAGATTGTTCCCATGTAAGAATGGGACAACAACAACAACTATCATTATACTGTCACCTGCAGATAAGGTACATAATGTTGTCTATGTGACTTGCTTAACCCTGTGCCTGGGGCCTATCGTTAGGGCAATGCTGAGACTGGATAAGCGAATGAAATCACACAGTCAAAGGCAGATGTTTCAACCCTCGGCTGGCAGAGGGGACTGTAAACGATGGACAATGGGGAGATGGCCTGTCCCTCTGTGGGAGTGGGAGGCAGCTGTGAATTCAACCAAGTTTGAGCAGAGTTGAAAGTTGGATTTCTACAGGGCCAATTTCCTGCATGAGGGAAGGCACTGTGGGTGCTCCAGTGTGGGATGTGCCCTCTCCCAAGCTTGTCCACTTCCTGCCTGAGGCCATTATGGCGTGCATCCGGGCATCACGACAGTCATCGTTATCCAGACTTGGGGTGCAGTTTGCACACGTCTATGTACGTTAATACATTTGATCCCCAGAACAGCCCTGTGAGGTTCGCTGAGGTTCACATTTCCAGACGAGAAAACCGAGGCTGAGGGAGGTTGTCACTTGCCTCGGTGGCTGGGTACAAAGGCAGATCTGGAGTCTGGTTTTTTTCTGTCTCTGAGTCCAGCCCTGCATTACACCGGCACGATAGCAGTCCCCACTGACGTCACCAAGGGCATGGGTTGCTCACGACCCTTCTACGAATTGCTGGGAGAGGTCATCAATGTGTGACTTAACTCTCTGCCTAAAAACGTGCTGGTCACTTGGACCAAGCCACAATGCTAGTAAAAGTAATTGCCAGCCCTGCTATAGACTGAATGTGTCCCAACAAAATTCATATGTTGAAACCTAATCCCCAGTGTGACAGTATCTGGAGGTGGGGCCTTCTGAATGTGATTGGGTCATGAGGATGGAGCCCTTGTGATGGGATTAGTGCCCTTGTAAAAGAGACCCGAGAGAACTCCCTTCCCCTTCCACCACGTGAGCTCATAGTGAAAAGACCAACAGACAGCCGTCTCTGAACCAGGAAGTGGGCCCTCACCAGACACGGAGACACCAAGTGCCTTGAATTTGGACTTCCCAACCTCCGGAACTATGAGAAATAAACTTCTGTTGTTTATAGGCCACCTAGTCTATTTTGTTATAGCAGCCAAACGGCCTAAGACAAACTCCTTACCCTCTGCCTTCTACCAAGATTTAGAGGCTGAATGTGGGCCTAGTGGCTTGGATTTGAAAATATTTCCCCCAGTTTCACTACTGAACCGAAAGCGTCAGGGCTGCCCTCACATTACGGCATGAAGAAGCTGGCTCTCTCTTATCTCTGCTCTCGCGGCTGTCATCTAGCAGCTGAATTGGAAGTCTCTGTTCCACCAGGTGTGGTCAGGGGAAAGACAAATCCCAAAGGGAAATCACTTGTTTTTAGATGTTGGGAAAAAATGTTCTCTAAAAAATAGAAAAGATATCCTTTTCATTTTTGTTTGAATTCTGCTAAGGAGACTGAAAACCTAGAGGTCATACTGACTCCTGTCCAGCCTACCAGAGGTGGGAGGAATCAGTTAGATGTGGAGGATGGGTAGACATAGTGATCAGATGCTCGGCGAAGGTGATGGAAGCACTTCGGCTTGCTGGGAGGGGTCCCCAGCAACCCCGCCTTCCTCCCCACCCCCTTCACTTTGTTCGCCTGGTTTAGCAAGGGCTATTGTGTTTATCTGATGTCTATGCACTAGGAAACTGAGACATGGGGTCTCAGTTCTCAACCTGGGCAGTAGGGTTGAGCTGTGATCTTTTCAACAGGTCTTGAAAACAATTGTCGTGATCAAAAAGAAAAAAATTTACTTAAAAAAGTTACTGAGGGGCCGGCCTTGTGGCGCAAGCGGTTAAGCGCGCGTGCTCCACTGCGGAGGCCGGCCCAGCCGACCCGGGGTTCGCCGGTTCCGATCACGGCGCGCACCAATGCGCTGCTTGGCAAGCCATGCTGTGGCGGCGTCCCATATAAAGTAGAGGAAGATGGGAACGGATGTTAGCCCAGGGCCAGTCTTCCTCAGCAAATAAAGAGGAGGATTGGCAGATGTTAGCACAGGGCTGATCTCCTCACCACCAACAACAAAAAAGTTACTGAGATGCCTAGGAAATGGAGAACAAGACAGGAATCGTTAGAAATGTCTGGGTGTCTAAGGAACGTGCCTTTTCTGGAGAATTCAGCCGTTTTCAAAATCTCTAAGGAGCCTGGGGGTCAGGGTGGAAGGGGCATGGGGAAGGAGTCCACAACGTTATCACAGATCATGGAAATTCAAGATGATCTCATCATTTCTCTTCAACTTCCTCTTCAAAAATTGTACCAGGGTTGGTAAGGAGCTAAACTGGCTGATTCGAAGTTCTATTTCCGTTTTTTTACCCTATCTTTTCAGGCAGGCTTGTTATTGAGCAGGGGAATGGCTAAACGGCAGCAGGATGTCGGAAGAAAAAGGAGGAGTCCTGATAATCCACGAACTGGATAATTGGCCTGCGATTAATCAAGGGCAATATTTGAGCGCTGCTTCTTTTGGGGGAGGCGCAGTGAGAGGACAGAGGAAAGAGCTGGCCTCTAAAGGCCCTGGAGCCTTAATGAAGAAGAAATCTGTTCATCAGAGTGTTAAGGAGTATGTGATATCATAAGCACCCAATTAAGGAAGCCCTTGCAGGATTATTCACTCCAAGGAAGTATTAAGAAGGGTAGAAAATTTCTTCATTTAAGATCAAAACATAATAAAACCCTATCAGTGGTGTGGACATTTCACAGACATATTTCAATTGGCTCCCCAGCATCTATCCATTCTCCCCTTCCCCGTCTAAATAACATCCCCAATTTCCTGAGGGAAATCACTTCCTCCCCTCTCGGCCGTGTGCTCTGAGGTGACTGCACCCTGGTGCTGGGTGGGGAACATGTGATCTGCTCTAGACCATCAGTGTGCTGCGTTTCTCCTGGCCCTCTCCATTGGCTCCCAGTCGGGAACATCATTAGTCTGCCCTTCAAGACAACAAGACTTGGTATTGGGTGTTGCAGCCGTCTGGGGGGTCATGAGAAGGGAACATCATGTGGGTAGAGTCCAATGAGGAAATGAAGCTGACAAATGGAGAGAAAAAAAGGCCTGCTTGCATTGTTCAAGGCACTGGAGCAAGCATTCCTGGAAGCCAGCCCTACTTCTAGACTTTTCAGTTAAATGGAGCCAGTAAAATACCTCGATTATTTGAGCCAGTTAGGGATTGGATTTTCTGTTATTTGCAACTGAAAGCATCCTGTCTGAAACAACTACAACAGAAGACCAAGCAGGACACGTTGTTGCTGGGAGAGGACATAGAGAGAGGGATGCCCAGTCAAAACCCACTGTGCCTGCCGCTGCCACCCCGGTACAGAGCAGCTGAGGCAGCTGCGAGCCTTAGGCCCAGTCTCGCCTCTCCTAGAGCCTGATGCGATGGATCTGGATCATGTTTAGCAGACCTGTTCCAGGCCATCGCCTGCACCCCGAAACTGGCCAAGCATTAACCAACACCCTGCTGTTAAGCGAGGGTTGGGGCCCAGAGCTAACTGAGGCACAACTCAGGAAAGCTCTCTGACTGCAAACCTGCGGCATCCCTGTCGGCATGAAGAATCCCAGTTCCTCTTCCTCTGCTCTGACAAGTCACAACAAGGCCAAGCTTTAGCTCCTCCTTGGTAAAATAAAATAATTCTCACAGTGGACAGTGCATGACCTTCTGAGCTAATTGTCCTTGCCTGAGGTGGGCAGTGGACTTTAGAGGAAAATGCCAACATAACTTGTCTTGTAAAAGTCTGTTCCTGGCTTGTAAGCCACCTGAGGCAGAAGGTCACTTCTTTTCCCACAGCAAAGGACCCAATACTTGGGAGGGTTGGCTAAGTGCTTGGTGAATAAATGAATGAATAAATGAATGGGTGAATGACTGAATGAACTCCTTGGAACTGTACCCTAGCAACTGCTCACCCAATCTCTCACTTTGGAGGGTTCCTAAGGAAGGAGTACACAGGGAGGGTGAGAGGGGAAGCCACAAGTAAACGTCCCTGGGGAAGTGCTGCTGACCAACTGTGTGACCTTGGGCAAATGACCTGACGTCTCTGAGCTCAACATCCTCATCAGCAAATGGAGTGCTAACCCTCTAGCAACCTGTGATGGTTAAATAAGAGAATCTGCGAACAGTGAAGCACACGGTAGATGCTTGATAAATGCCGATTCCCTTCCACCATCCCTGCCCTGAGCATCCCAGTGTGGGCCCAGGAGGCAGTGTTTGGGCTGTGGGAATGTCTGCAGAGGTGCACTGCCGCTCCCTCTGTCTTTCAGGAGACCCTCTGCGATGAAGGGAGGCCCTGCTCTGGGGCACCCCCCCACTCTTGGGAACTTTTTGAGTTTCCTATTGCTGCTGACACAAATTACCACACACTCAGTGGCCTAAAACAACACAAATTTATACTCTTACAGCACTTACTGGAAGCTGGAAGTCTGAAATCCACTTCACTGGGCTAAGTCAAGGTGTAGCAGGGCTGGTTCCCTCCGGAGGTTCCCGAGGAGAATCGTTTTTTTGCCTTTTTGGGTTTCTAGTGGCTGCCTTATTCCTTGGCCTGTGGCCCCTTCCTCCCTTTTCCAAGAGCGTCACTCCAATCTCTGCTCAGTCCTCAGATCGCCTTCTCCTCCTCTGTAGTCAAATCTCCCTCTGCCTCCCTCTTACAAGTACATGTGATTACATTCAGGGCCTACCCAGATAATCCAGGATAATCTCCCCATCTCAAGATCCTTAATTTAATCACAGCTGCCAAGTCCCTTTTGCCATATAAGTTAACATTCACAGGTTGCAGGGATCAGGACCTGGGTATCTTTGAGGCCATGATTCAGTCTGCCACAGGAACCTAGCCATGAGGAAGCCTGGTGGGTTCATGCCACGGGGCCTGCTTCGCTCTGCCTTGGTGATAGCTGTGCCACTAGGGGAGACAAAATGCACTTTTCAAAGGGCTCCAGGGCTGCCTGTGAGTCGTGTTTTCTTTGCTGGTGAACTCATTCTGCTAACCATGGTCATTTGTCAAAGGCAGCAGGCAATAAACGTCCTGGCCACATGCATCTTGCTCTCCCCATCCCCCTCCCAGGATGCGAGTCCATGAAGGCCACCACTGCTGGCCCCGGAGCTGCCCACAGACCCCCACAAATCCTCTGAGGATGCCCAGTTGTTGGACCTGGCTCTGCTCCAGGCTCCCAGCCCATCCTGAGAGGCAGTCAGAGCTCTTTCCCAGGTTTCGAAAACATCCTTCTACTTATTGGATGGGACGGTAGTGTTCTGAGCCTGTGGTTGATGTCCAAACTCCAGGAAAGTTGTTCTCACACGGGCCTGGGCTGGGCTTCATGGAGGAAGGACATTGATGTCAGTGAAAGCAAAGTGAAACCACAGGGCCCTGCCTGGTGGGGCTTTGTTCTGCTAAATCCTTAGGCCACACAATCTGCCCTAGCTCCGTCTGCTAGGACATTTTGGCATGACTTTGCAAGAGCAGTACAGCTGGTTTTCAGGAGCTGCGAGAAATGGTTTCAGAGGACCATCCTCTCTAGAGGACAGGGGAAAGAGAAAGGGAGAGAAAATCCTCCCCAAACCCTGAAGGTGGGAGATAGATTTTGTCAGGATCAGGATTAAATTGAGATGTTGCTCTGGCTGTTATTTCTGAGTGACTATTTGGGCTAAAATATTCAATTTTAATAGCAAGAAGGAGGTACATGTTATAAGCACCTCTAAATAAAGTAGAGCTTGGGAAAGAATAACCCCGGGTGCTTGGAAATGGCATTTAGTGTGCATTTCTCATGGATAAATATAAGTCTGTGTGTATTTATCCAGTGTCCTCATCTGAGCAGAAATGAACACGCTGTACTAATTCAGACGAATTAGGTGGGAGGCCTAAGCAAGATGTCTGAATTACTGACTATTTTTAAAAAGAAATGCAGTTGTATTATTTTCAAGAGCTTTGAGTAATGAAGCTAACAGGATGTTACCTAGGAGACATATTTACAGATTTATTCTTGAGGTAAGAAAGTCTCCAATTCAGAATTCAGCGATTGGGAGGGCAGCAGTGGCAAACTGAAGGTTGGTTCTTACTGCAGGTGAGAATGTTTTGGGGTGAAAACATTAAGTTGTTCTGTGTTCATTGTCCCGGTCATCTGTCCTGGAGATCTAGGACCAGCCACCACGCACACACACGCTGTACTAGGTAATTCTGCACCACAGAACAGCCAGGACACATTAGAACAGAAAGATACCTTGCCAGTCATCTGCTCAACCGCCGCCTTGCACTCCATGAGGAGCTTGAGGGCTAGAGAGGCGAGGTGCCTCATCCTGCAGGAGCCCACTGGTGGGGGGAAGAACCAGGACTGGGGTGCGAATTTCCAGAATTCTCTTTCCTCTTTTGCCACTACCTCTTAGGCACCCACAGCCACAGTAGAGAAGGGGAGGAAGGAAGCGGGTGAGAGAAGAGAAGACGTGCAGACTTGGAGAAAGCAGCGAACCCTCTGACTACAGTCTCTAGCTGGATTTGGAGCACAATACTGTTGGCACTGCTCTTCTCTGCCAGGAGGCAGGCCTGGACTCCGGAACTCTCACAGCAGCAAGAGGACGGTTGCCGGTTATCCAGGGCTTGCTCTGTGCCAGACACGCTTCTAAGCACTTTCCATGGATTAACTCACTTAATGCTTAGAATAACGCCGTGAAGTAGGTACTCTGATTAACCCCATTACATCTGTGAGGAAACTGAGGCAGGGAGAGACTCAAGAACTCACGCAAGGTCGTAATCAGCCACTGAACGAGGACTCGACTCCAAGCCATCTAACTCCAGAGCCCTCTCCCACCTGGGGCCACTGCCCTAAGCATTTTGCTCTACTCTGAGCTGGCTGAGCTGAAGGGCTGAGGTGGCCCTTCAGCCACTGGGTGTCCAGGCAAGGCCTGGCGTGGCTGGAGCCACCTGGTTGCTTGCAAACAACCTTATCTGTTTATCCTGGGTCATTATTATTGCGTGATCATTATACTGCATTATCGTCTCTGTGTGCCACGGTATGAGAAGTGTTGAGAGGCACTGCTCTGTTCCGTAACAGAGTCTCGAGGGATGATTCAATCCATTTCTATAGTGTTCACGCTGTCTGGCTACCTCAGGATAAAATAAAGCCACAGGTTGAGCCCCGAAGGCTGATGATTTCGTCCCCCCAGACTCTACTTGCCCCCCTGGGAGCCATCTCATAACACAAGGGAGAGAGGGCAGGAGTGTGTCTGGATCTGTGTAAACCCTTCATCTCCCAGAAAGGCTGCTGAGCACATGCCCTCTGGGTACAAGTCAGCACCCTCATCTGCATATATGAGGAACAGGACCTTCCAATCCAGGGAGGGGAAAGCGTCAATGTCAGGATCGCAGAGCGGCCTTCATTTCTCTATTTCCTGGGTGTCATTTCCATTTTTTAAAAACTTCTCTACCTGTCCTGCAGGGGCCCCTCAACTTTGTACTGGTATGACAATGCTATGTTCTTTGAGGGAGAACTACTTGTTCTGGAGATGTCAGGGTTAGAGGAGTCGGCAATTATGAGCTTATGAGATAACGACATGTGTGTTTAGCGTGATGGCAAATTATACCATAGGAGAAAAATTTAAGATTCAGAGTGAACTATTTTCCCATATAAACTTACTGCCTCAGGAAAACTGTGGTTAAAATTATAAATTACCAGGAAACTTCAAATTTCCCCTAGAGAGCCAAAATAGAAATACAAGAAGAAGCATTGTTGAAATCATCCCAAATTGGAAGCAATGATTATTCAATTAAAAATAAGTATAGTTACACTTTCTGTTTATCTGGTGTCTTCTAGCAGTTTTTAGCCACGAGGCTTGAAGGGAACTCTAGTAATCGCAGACTTCAACCTCCTCATCTCCACGATGGGCATGCTACCTACCCAGCAGCCGACTTATTTTCTACAAATCTCCAGAGAAGCAGCTTCCTTTCCTCTCTCACGTGAATCTGCCTCAGCTTCTCGTGGCCTTCTTGGTCAGAAAGTTCTTTCTAATGTCTATCCTGAACCATTCTGCTATAATTCAAACCCACAATTTCTTGCCTTGTCTTGGGGGAATGACAGACACAGTCAACCCTTCACATTCTTAGAGAGGATAACTGGGTCAACTCCTGACTTCCCCCTCCCTTCTGGCACAAAGACAGGTGGGGCTTCCTTCTCATTGCCTCCATTTGGGGAGGGAGTTGTCTCTGTGCCCTCTCCAAAACCACATCACAGTGGAGTTCCAGGGTCCACACCTGAGTGTCATGTGGCGGTGGACAGGGTGGTCTTGTGGGTTCCACTAGTCTCCTTGATGAACTATTTCATCTGCAGAGTCAAGGACTGGCGAGTGCCTAGTCCTGTGGGAGGGTAAACTTGTGGTTGCTTCATTCTATGAACACCCAGGAAGTGTGGGGTCTGCAGGCAGATGTAGAGAGGCACCATTTTGAAAAGGCAAGACTGGTTTGGATGCTACTGGGTGTTGGCCTGGGGTCTTGGGCCCCTTGGGCCTTCTGAACCTCTCAGCATCCTTATCTATGTCAGGAAAAACAGCACCAACCTCACACAACCTCACAGGATGTTGTTAAGATCCAATGAGATGTGGGTGTCGTTGAAAAGTCCATGGTTCCCTCAGCTCAGCCCAGAAAGGTTAAAGTGGCCCCCTTTGGCTGGAGCCCAGGGCCTGAGTCTAGTTGGTGAGGAGATGGAGTTAAGTCTGGAGTACCGTGGCTTAATCACTGGGCTACGCCCTACTGAGTTAAAGATTGCTGACAGCTTTGCAATTGTGTGCTGCCTCCCCTTTATTTTGTGTGGTCACGGCCTCCATGCGTGTGACAAGTCTTCTACAGAGAAGGAAAAGGCAATCACCTGGGGGGGTTAATGTAATTCACAGCATAAGACCTGCAAGTGCCCATTGCAGTAAACCCGTTGGGCAAAGGCCTAGTCAACAGAAGACCCCCATCCAAATACAAATATTTCACCCGGGAGGGTAACCCCATGACAGCTGTTTCTGCATTGTCACAGGTAAGTAGTTAATTCCCTAGCAGCTACCCCTGGGGGGATGGTGAGTGTTGTTTGGGGGAATGAGGGTGTT